CTGATCATAGCTGTGTGCCTGGTGACTTCATGATGAATTGTAATCTGGGATATAAAATACTTGGAACTGCTAACTGAGATCCAGGCCAGCTTTGTAATGATGAACCATTTTTCCCTTATTGGTATTCAGCTGATTTTCTACACTGAGCTGGTGAAATTTTTCATACTTCTCCCTTAATAGAAACAACAAAAAAAATGCTATTAATTAGATCTACCATTAGTATTGGCAACAAAAGTGCCAACCCTGTAAGAAACTGAGCCCTGTATGCAGATGAGGTATGAGGTCTCTGGCAGCTCTTCCTGATCCTTGTACAGTCTTCCTGTTGGATGCACTGCCTAGAGAAGTGGATACCTTCTATTGATGTTGGGATTCCAAGAAAGAAGAAAACTCTGTCCTGTTCTAACATACTGTGGATGTTTTTGATGATTGCTTTGTATATTTTTGATGATTGCTGTATTATGCAGTGATAATTCATGCTGTAGTCTAAATGTAGAGTTCCTGCCCTTACAGTGAGACATTTATTTCCTGTTACTTGCTAATACTGCATTTGGAATTATCTGTGGTGGGATTAAGGGGTTTGCTCCCTTTGCTGAAACCTCTCCAGTGACTTAGCCCGTTGTGTGGCATTTCCCTCTGATTGAGGCCTGAGGCATTCGTGTTGAAACAGAAGCATTTCATAGCAGAGAGATGCTCTGCCAAAGCTGGGGTGCCTAGAAAGCTTTTCCCTCAAGCTTTAGTTGCAGTCTCCTGCTGTCTGCTAAACTCTTCCAGCAGATTGAAACAGCAGGTAGCACTGGTTATGCTACATACTTAAGAGCGTTTTAAATTAGCACATTTTATTTACCATTGTGCTGCTTTGCTTGGTAGCTGCTTGGGTAGGCTGGAGCAGAAGGGAGGCCACGAGCACCCTGTGGAATTCTCTGTGTTGGTCCTGCTGGGGTGGTGGTGCCCAGTCCTGCTGGTGAGGTTGGGTCAGCCTGACTTCAGTGCCCGAGGCAACTGGAAGGAACAATGGCAGAGGTTTGGGTGGGCTGAGGGATGGCCCTGCAGCTCAGGGTGCTGTGGGAGGGTGCTGCCTTTTCACTTGGCTGTGAGGTACAGGGCACCTGGAAGGCAGAGAGCTGCCTGGTGGTGCTCCTGGTGTGGGCATAGCCCTGAAGTTCTGGGAGCTGCTGACCTGGCATCCCATAGAGGCATCGTTGGGGAAGGAGAGTGAGGGGAGAGGCAGCACTTGCACTGCCACTAAAGAGACACTCTCTAACTGACAGCATTGCCTCGTTTGCTCCAAAATGAGCAGTTCAGCCTAGGTGCCCCACTTGCCAGAACAGGTTCAAGTCATTAATTAAGCTATTTCTTAGGTCATAGAAGCTTCATATAGACGAGTCATGGAAGCAGATCCAAGAACAGCAGGAGTGACCTGACTACCAGACAGTGTCAAAGTGTAAACTGTTTGCCAGGATTTGGGAAGGCAGATAGTGTCATAGACACCCCTACCTAGAGACACTCACCCCTTCCCCCTGGTGCTGGCAGGGCCCTGGGGTGAGGATTAAAGGCAGTGATTTTCCTAGGAAGGATAAAGCAGGGATTGTCTCTTCTGACTGGATGAGTGCCTCCATCTTCCTTGTGGTGTAGCAAGGAAGGTTGGAATAGCTGAAGGGGGTTGGGATACAGGGTTTGCAGACTTGCTGTTGTAGAGAGGATTGGGGAGATTGGGGGTGTTTGGACTTGGTTTGTTGTCCAGGCAACGTTGTCACTTGGGGTGCTTAGTAATTTTATTTGCTAAAACTTTGGGAGTGGATGGGGTGAACCTGCTAATCAGATGGTATTCCTATAACAGACCTTTGAATGAAAACTGTATACCTGTGAGGCAAGATTAACACATGTATTATTCAAGTTGGTTTTTATTAAAAAAGTAATAAATTGCTGTCTTCTCCTTCTCTCTCTAGATTGTTTACTAAACGAAGAGAATTTCTCAGTGAGGTGCCCCAAGCACAAGGTAAGTCTTCTCCTGGGTTAGACCTGGTTTTTGCTGCCCTCTTCTGGTATCTGAGTTTGAATTAGTAATTTCATACCTGGATAACATCTGTAGTCAGAGATGCTTTTAGGTTCCTTCTGTGATGTGTGCTTGTGGTACATTCTGGGGGCAAACATCCACTTAAGAAGAATACAGAGAGTTTGAGAAGATAAATTCTTTGCCCTATCTGCTCAGTAGTTCTGTAGGTCCTTGCTGACTCTAGGAAGCACAGCTTCATTTCCTGCCTTCTGTGATAGCATCAGTACATGGCTCCCTGTGTCTGCTCCAGTGCTGCATCAAAACTGGCAGTGCTGCTTCCCCTTGATTCACTGAGGATGCCAGGAGGAAGAAAAATGGCTCATGAAAAGTTTCAGCTTTTGGAAACATGTAGGCTACATCATGAAGCGGTGTAGTGATGAACCTGGAACACCTTGTTCTAGTCTAGGGCTAATATCTAGACTGAGTCCTACCACTCAGCTGTCAATACATCTGTTAGTAGATCTGTAGCTCTTCAGAAGACCCATCATCTGATTCAGGTTTTGGTGATGGGTTCAGTGTGTTCCTTCTGCCTAGGGTTTGGGCATCCTTAACTGAATGTCCTGGCAAACACAGTGGTGCTAAGAGCTGAACTGCTGCTGCTCTGTCTGTGTGGAAGGAGGAGACAAGGCAGACAGTAGCTCTGCTCTTGCACGTGGAAGTGTGATACAGTGCTGGGGATACCCCCTCCAGCCTATGAGGGAGGATACATCCCTGGGAGGCTGCAGATACCAGTGCACCAGCTTAAAATCATCAGAAGTATCTGGAAAAAAAAATGACTATTCTTGTGGCTAGCTGAATACAAAAGGAATTGTGCAAGAGTGTGGATGGTTTATGCTGGAAAGTAAATCACAATGGGGAAGAATTGTGTTGCTCTCTGGTGGGGATTAGTCACCATTTAGTCCTTGTCTGCAAAGCTCTTCTCTGCCTAGAACTAGGCTGACATCTGGTGGTGCTTTGTCCTCACAGATTATCTTTAATCTCTCTTTTGTAAACATACAAGAATTAGTCTCATGTTCCTTTCTGGATGTTCTACCAGAATGTGGTGGATTTATAAGCACGGATGGAAAAAGCACTGGAACATTTTGGGGGCGTTCAGGCTGTTACCCAGTGCTGGCTCACTTTCCATCATAAAAAGGAAATAAAGTATTCTGCACAGTTTTGGAATAATGTTGGAAATGTACAGCAAGCAAGCAAGGTGGTTTTGTTTTTGTTGCCCCTTGGCCAGCGTGTGCCAAGGAGATGTAGTGTTAAAGCTGTTCATAGCTGGTTTTACAGAGTCCAGCCTCCCAGAGCAGGACGTTCATGTCTGAAGTCATCCTGGGAGGTTGGAGGGTGAGAACTTTCTATTAAGTTGATCAAAGTACTTAATGAGGCAATAAAATTTTGAATTTAATTCAAAACTATCCCACTGCATATAATTTTCTGTGTGGTGTCAAAAATGGGACTCAACACCACCAGCCCTTCTTTGACACTGAAGTTTGTTGGCTTTTGCTTCATAAAGACATGACTAATTGGTTTGAAGTCAAGCAGAGTTTTCTCTACCTGGCTCTGCCTCTGCCCTTGCCCTGTGGCTCACTGGTGGTTGTGGGTCTGTTCCAAATCCTCCTGCAGGGCAGAATACAGGATCACCTTGCTCCTTTCCTTGTGGGGCCTGGGAAGGGGAGTTCCAGCCAGCTGAGAGACAGGTTGAAAACCATTGTTCTAGAATGACTGGAGAACAAATTGCATCAATTTTTTTCCACGCTATGAATATGAGCAATTGAGAGGAAGAAAGGCTTTAGATTAGACCATTTAAAATTATGCTTTTAGGTAACACCAGTTTAATATTAGCAGCTAATTTGTAGCGCTCTGAGACCTCATTCTTCTGTTCTGCAGATAATGGGTGGAAAAACTAACTTTATAAATCCACTGACACTAAGTCCCCCAGTACAGTGCCTCTTATCCTTTGTGTGGCCGTGCCTCACATGGGTAAATACACCTCATCAGAATAAGTAGCTCCTGGAGAGCAGAGGTGCTTCTTGCCTCATTAACTGCACTTGACACTCGAGGCTTCAGCAAGCCGAGTCCAGGGGGACTAGTGCTGCCTTCCCCTCTGCTCCCCAGTGAGCTTTCCCATTTCCTCCTGTCAGCACTGATGCTTCAGCCATCCATGTCCTGAATGTGCTACTTTTGCAAAACAGCAGCTTTTATTAGGGGGAGAATGCTGTCTGAAAACAAATAATCTTCTGAAGGTTGAGCTTCCTCTCCCCAGCCCCACCGGGGCGTCTGCAGCAGAGCTGGCGAGGGCACCGAGCAGGGTCCAGAGGAGTGGGAGACCTCACCTGTGGTGGCACTGCAGTCTTGGGTGGTCTTGAGCCATCTGGGGGGCAGTCTGAAGTGATGCTTCTCAGCTCGTTCTACCTTTTTGTGTTAAATCCTGTGTTTCTTAAAATGAGCCAGGCTTTCGTATCCCCAGCTCCGTACTGTGGCGCTGCCTGCGTTAGTCCCAGGGCAAGCTCTGTCTGAGAAGTCTGTGTCTGGTTCCAATACTGACTTTTCTTTCTCTCTCTCACTTTCTGTATGTGTGCTTTCCCTCACCCTGTCTTCTTTTCTCCCTCGTTTTCTTTTTCCTCCTCCTTTTGGCTTCGTCAGCCCCTCCTTCCTTGCTCTCTTCCCTCCTTGCAGAACAAGATGGTGAAAGGCAGCCTCAGCACAGAGCAGTCGGAGCGGGGGTGAGGGGGGAACTGTACTCCTGGGAATGGAGATAAAAGCAAGCACAGGTGAGTTGGGGAGAGTTCCCAGATCCCACCTGCCTCCTCCTGTGCCTGCCTTGCCTCCAGCACCTTCCCCGTGTCTCTGAGGAATCAAGGTGCTCTTGTGTGCGTCCAGAAAATCTGTAATAACTGTTGCTTGGTGGTTTTGGGTTTTTTCCTGCTACCATTGTGTTCAGGCTAGTGACTCCACGTTTTTGTATTTCTGCAGCAGTGCCTTCTGTTCAGCAGTTAAGGCAAAGCTTGTTAGCTGCTCCACTGCTTGATTACTCTCTCAGCTGAACAGTGGCAGAGAGCTCCTTTTGTATTACCATGGTCATGTCCACAGGGATCTGAAGGGTTTATTGCAGTCAGTCTCAGAGTAGCTAATAGCAAACTTCCATATAAACAAACTCATCAAATTATGTAACATTTTGTATTTAAGGAAGAATTAGTGATACTGATGAGTTCAAGATTATTTGTAAACTGATTCCCTGTTTTCTGGAAGTGTAGATATAGGGATAAGTAAATTAATCTTATCAGGAGCCCATTACATTTCTTTCAGACCAGCATTTTCCTCTGTTTTGTGAGCAGACATGGGTGATGGAAGGTGGAACTATATCCACAAGTGGTTGGAATTTCCTGAGTTGTGATGCTTACTCTGGTCCCTCCCCTCCCCTCGATCCAAGGGGGCTATCATTGCCCTAAGTGGTTGTGCTCTCATGCCTAGCTCCCTGCTGCTCTGCCTTCCTCCCTCCTCCTCTGGTCCCAGTGTTCCTGCAGCCCTGTGTGAACCTGGCAGGGACTTTGGTTTGTCTGAAATGACATTTTGTCACCTTAGTGTCTGTGTTGGGTCATTCTGCCCATCTGCTTCCCTGGCCAAATGGGGCAGCACGAGGAGGGAGTAGCCCAGAGGTGGGAGTTCACAGCCAGGGGTGGGATGAGGTTGGGATTTTGTGCTTCCTTTCCATCAGGTGCATTCCCACTCGATGGCAACAGGGAGGTCTAAATGAAATGAGTGTCTAGTGTGAAATGAATACTTGTTGGGAGCCTTTTCTATGAACAGCAGCCCAGGAAGGTGCCTTGCCTTCATTTCCCTGCTCAGCTGCAGTTTCTGCTCGGGCTGGTTGCTGCTTTTCCTTGCTGCTGTGCAGCTGAAGTGGCTCTTTCCTGTCTGTTCTGGGCTGATTCTAACACTGCCCTCCCCTCACTGCTGTTCCAGTGCTTCCCAGGCACCTCCCTCACCCTGAAACCTGCCTGCTTCTTGAGTTAAGCAATTGAGGCACTTCTAATGGTGTACTCTGTAGGGTGAGAGATTGATCAGAGAATTCTGGGGTTTGGTGCAGTAGCAGAAGACAGCTATTGTTCAAGATAAACACTTTGTAGACTGACTGCTGGCTTGGTTTAGCTCTGCTGTGTTCTGGGATTTGATTGGGGTTTTTTGACAGCATTCTTGACTTGGGAGTGCTGTTAAAGGAGTTACCATGCAAACTACTTAAAGGTCACTGTTTGAGTTACTTTTTCCTTCCATGGTGAAGGTCCTTGGGATTCTTTGAAGCTTTTTCTCTTTTCCTTACAGTATCAAAGGCAATATAATATATAACATTAAACCAAGATAATAGTCTCACAGGCAAGGAATCTGTTAGAACAGTTTAACACCAGAGAAGATGTCTCAGTGATGATTTTTGGGCCGTTTCTTGAAGGTACTGGTGAACATTATGGTGTCCCAGAGACCTTTACACAGTATTTCCCAGTGCTACCTCCTTTTTTTTTTTTTTAAATATATCACAGGAATGTTTTGGCTTTAAGGCCTTGCAGGCTGTGGAATCTGCACCGTGTTCAGTGTGTGCTCCAGACATCTCTCTGAGACAGCATTTCTTTGCAAATCCACTTTTGCCTCAAGTAGTTCTCACCTGCAGATGCTATTTTTGATGCTGAGAATGTCTTAAAAATTAAGTTCTCCAACCTGACTTTGCACCCCAAAATAAAAACCATGCAGATCTAAAAGATCCAGTTATTTATTAAAGTTTGCTGTGTTACTGTGGTAGTCAGAGAATTTTACAGGAGCTTTGTAGCAGTCTGGTGGTGCAGGAGCTGTGTCTCTGCTGGCCTGAGTGTGGGGTTGTGTGGGCACTCAGCTGTTAGATTTTTGGCCTGTTTGAGTCCTGGTTCACCCCTAGGCCCAGCAGGAGGAGGAACCCTGTGTGTTGGCTGCCAGCCAGGCCAGTCACTGTGTTTTGGCTCTGGTGCTTTTCTCTCCCTGAGCCAGTTGCCTCTAGAACATTTGGACAGAATCCAAATCTGGAGAGTGAGTCTGGTGCTCTGGATCTTCTCCAGGAACGGGGAAGGACTCTCTCTTTCTCTCTCTGTTGAGCCTGTTTCCTCTCTGAGCCAGTGCCTAATGCTCTGGATGGGTTCCAGGCCAGACAAGCTGCAGTTGGGCAGGAGCCAGAGGCAGCGAGGCTCCTCCAGCGGCTCGCAGCGAGGAGCAGACCCCACAGAGCTCAGCTGCCCGAGCTGCCCAGGACCCCTCCTGCCCTCCCAGCTGCAGCTCCACAGCCTCCCACCTGCCTCCCACCCACACTTGCCCCTCTCCTGTGCCCGTGGCCTAGCACCCCCATGCCAGGGGTGTCTGCAGCCAAGGCCAGGCTGTCACCGGCCGCTGTGCTGGCAGTGGGACAGCACTGACTCCTGTCACACTGAGCTGGGGCTCCTGGGGTTCAGCTGCCAGCTATGAATGAGAGGGGTGTTGCTTCCTTCCCAGGCACACCTCTAGTGCTGTTAACTGCTCTCCATAGGCATCCCTTATGTTCCAGGCTTTTTTTTTCCCTTTTCCCAAGCTCACTAGCTGGTGGGGAGGGGTTTATTGAGGTTATAGCAAAATAACCTTGTTTCTGGGCTCACCTCTATCATGGCAGAGGGGAAGGAAGGATTCTATTATTTCAAGCTTGATTTTCTCAGCTGTGCAACTTTAAGAATGAGAACCATAGTTTAGAGAAATTAAAATTTAACTTTGTCAGTAGTTTATCTTTCAAACTGAGCCTCCACCAACTTTAGCAGACCCTAAAGTTCATTTTCTCACCTCAGAGAGTTTCTGGACAGGGAGAGTGAGCATGCCAAGCACTGGGACTCTTCCACATTTGTCTTGAAAGGCATCACAAGCTTAGTCCTTCCATGAGCCATAATCTGGCAATTAGAACCAAAAAAGAAAAAGTAAGAAAAACAAACATCACCAGCCCTCCAGCTTTGCCTTCAGCCTGTGCAGTGGAGCCATTCCCTGACTCTGGCTCACATGGCCAGGCTCCTGTTACTTTGGTGCTGGTTTCACTGTCTGCTGCATGCTCACTGAAACCTCCTCCCGGGTGGTAGCTCCGTGACCTACCCAAAAACACTCAGGCTCAGTCCCTGAGGGGCAGGGTGGCATCCCAGCTGCTGCCAGCCCTCTGGTCCCAGTGTCCCTGGTGAGGGTGAGGCTGAGGGTGACTGGTCCCAGTGTCCCTGGTGAGGGTGAGGCTGAGGGTGAGGTGCACGGGCTCCTCTGTGGCTGCTGCACGAGTGCCCTGGGGCACAGATCATCCTCTCACCCTGGACCTTCCCTATGACTGGGCTTGTTCAGCTTCTGTTGGTTGTTGGATGGACACTTTTTATCCCTGGATTTGCTTCACTTGTGGCTGTGCTGCCACCCGTTCTGAGGTCACCAGCCCAGGAGCTCTGGGTGCCAGGGCTGCAGGGGGTGCGTCGGCAGACGGAGGGGAGGCACCATTCCAACACCACTGCTCTGCTTTGTTTCCAGGTTAGGCTGTTGAGATAAAAAGCGGTGGACATTCGAGGGCCTGGGACCTCTCCTCCTGTGCAGCCATGCCCCCTCTCGACGTGCCTGCCAATGCCAGCACTTCCTTCATCAATCCTTACATCACACTCAAGACTGAGGACATCACAGAATCTGACCAAGGAGTCTGAACCAGCTGTTTCCATGGACACAATCTCCATAGTGACAGTGGGAAGGGGAGGGGGAAAAAGGAACCAGGTGGGGGGAATTAAAGAGGGAGGGATAAATATATATATATATAAAGATCTATTTTTTAGTCTTGAAAGACTTTGTTTTAAATGAAAGGTGCGCTATATCCCTTTTGATGCTTTTGATTAAAATTAACAAAACCCCATATAAATTAAAAAAAGAAACCAACCCTGTAGCTAAAGTAAACCTGAAATCCAAAATGAAAGCGAGGCTGATGGACCCCAACGTTGTGTGGGAAAGAACAGTGGAACTGGGAGCAAGCCAAGTGGGATTTGTCTCCCCCTTGCTTTCTTTCTCACAACAGCCAAGGGAGTTCAGTTTTAAAAGGAGAATAAAACCCTCATCAGTCGTAGGGTGTGGGAGGAAGGCTTGGCTGGGGGGTCAGCACTTGTGGGTTATCAGC